TGTTTATTTCCATGCTGTCAAATACACTTATACCCATGAAGAAACAGGGGGTTATGTCTGCTTTATTAAGGGTCAAAGACACAGCTACTAAGGGGATCCTTTTTATAAAAAATACCTAAAGATCCTTGTTTACAAAGATATCACATAGGAAGCCCTTCCTCCCACGTTAGGGGGGCTGGGAGGAAAGGGCCATCACTCTGAGGCCAGGAGGCTGTTGGCCAAGGGCAGAAACATCGTCCCTCTCCACAGCTGGGCTCACTCTGTCACAAGCAGCAGTGGCCAGGGCAAGGAGCATCCTTCAATGGCGGCCACCGTCACAGCTGAGCCTCAGCCTGACCCCAGCAGGCTGCACTCAGCCCTTCTCTAGGGAGCTTCTCTGGTTGGAAACCAGACCCAGAGGCTTCTGAACCCCTTCAAACATGCTCTGAGCACAAATCAGGAAGGCAGGGCTGGGGGTGGCAGGAACACAGATGAAGGAACTATTTTTGAATGACTAGAAATAAAAGCTAAACACAGGTGTGTTCTGCACAAGTGGAAATGTTCCCAAATCCACAAGAATTCTTTATAAATAAACTAAAAAACAAACCACTCGGGTTGCCACATTTCATCCTAGTTTCCAGGGATACACACAAATAGTTCGGGTCTTTGCACATTATTTCAGGAACCGCAGAGGGCTCATAGGCACCACTAAGGGTGTCTGACTCATTTTCTAGAAAGCTACACAAAGTTACAATCTAGAGCTAAAAATGAGGGCAACGCCTGCCCTGTGACTCCTGCCACAGCCCAGAAAAGCAGGGCAAAAGGAAACCACCTAACTGACTATACAACAAAAACACCGGCAGAATTTGGGGTAAATTGAGAACCTCTACAGCAAAAGCAATCGAATTTAGAGAAGAGCAATTCAGGTCTTTCATCTCAACTCATACATACAACAAAGAAGCATATCAAAATGCATACTAAACAAATCATGATGAAAATATTCACTTGATAGTATCTATAAGACACAGTGATCTACATGAACTTCTGGGTGATCCCTTAACTCAGAGCGAGAGATAAGCATTTCCTACAAGGGCAGCAAGCCCCAGACTCAGACTCCATTTTCCCCATTTTCAGCAGGCCAAATATTTATGGAATATTTTCTCTCCAAATTCTTGCTGAAATCTCACCCACTGTGAATTCTTACCTATTTTAGGTAGATTTTCCACCATTGTTACCTACTTCATATCATGGCATTCCAGCCCCAGCAGCAAACTGGGCCCAGTCACAAGACTCCTTACATTCCCATTTCTGAGGTCAGAAAAAGAGCAGCCAAAGTTGAAGTGACAGTTCCTAGGATTACAGGTACCACTAGTGGACCCCTCCCTGTGAGAGGTACTTTATACATAGCATCTTCGTAAATCCTCACAGCAGCCCTATGAGGTCGGCTTTATGGCTGAGGAAACTAAGGCTCAGAGGGGTTAAGTGACATGCCTAAAGACACACAGCCAGGAATGGTGGAGCTGGGATTCAAACCCTGGTTTCTCTGAGCTGGTAGCCTATGTGGCACTTGTCATTTTAACGTGCTGCTTCCAACAAACTGGAATGCTGGGTCAAAGCTGGCAGATGTTTTATGAGAATAAAAGTCAAAATCTGCAGAAATACAGGATATCAAGAGACCTGATTTCACAGATCATATAAAATAATAATAAAAACAAAATTATAGAGCCTAAGGGACTTTTTTTAAGCAACGAGCTCTAAATGGGCGCAAGCACATGCTGCAGCACGAGTTAAGACCGGCTGTATTATTAGCTAGCAAAAAACCAGCTAGGTGGATAGGCAGAGGGCCTCCCGGGCAGCAGGAACATGGTCTGGGTCAAGTTAGGGAGGACGCACGAGCAGGATGGGGACACCCCCAGAGAGTTCGTGTAGAACAGTGATGTGGAGCAAGGCCAGAAAACCAGACTGTGGCCAGACCACCGGGGCATGTGCATGCCAGGATAATCTAGCCAGATTTTACAGTAAAGGAAGGAAAGTTACTAAAGACTTTTGTCGGATTAGAGGGCTGACAGGGGCAAAGTGCTGTTATGGGATGATAAAAAGAAGGGGCCATGGTGCGAGGGATGAAGCAACTCTCCACCCTTGACCACCCTAGGGCTCTCCAGAACAGGTGCTGTGGAAGGTGCTGGAGAAAGGAGGAGGGAGGAGGCCTGGCTCTCTGCTCATCTGGGCCGGGGAGGTGCAGACCAGCCTGGGCCTGGCTCCACCATGGATAGGAAGTGACAGGGACACAGGAAGGCAGAATGCCTAGGCTCTGCTGCTGCTGGGCTCGGGGATGGGGGCACGGCAAGAGCAAGGGAGGCACCCTAGGCCTGAGGAGCAGGATTAGCATGTAAGCCAGGTCAAGAGGCCAAGTGCACGTTTTGCAAATATAATAGTAATATCTGTAAGCTGCTTCACAGTTTCCAAACTGCTTCTAAATACATTAAGCTATGAACCCAGGGAACTCAGGTGCAACTCTCAGGACAGTCTTGAAAGCAGCCTGTCACATCCGCCTGTCCCTCCCTCCCCACTATATGGATGGGCCCGGGAGAGAGTCCCTTTCTGACTAAGCTCTTGAGAAAAATCCGATTCTTTTTACCAGACTGGATCTCAGACTGGGAGGTAGGAACGAAACAATCAAGACGAATGTGTTCTCATCATATGTAATCAAATGACAAAGGACTGGAATATAATATGTTAAGGTAGAAATACATGTATTCAGATAAGAGACCATCCATGGTGGTTTTTTCTTTTCCCAAAACCTTATGAAATATTACTGACATATCTGTTTTTCAATTAAACAGAGGCTGCCCCCTCCAAACAAAAACAAAAAGAGGAAAGTGAGTCCCCTCATTGCAAAGAATGGCAGTCATTCAATTCTCTGATTGCTTTATCATCACAGGGGAAAGTGCTCTACCCCTGCCCTGCAGGACTAAAGCCAAATGTCTGTGCTAATTTTCAAAGTATCTGTGTTATGCTTCACACCCATCTAACGACTTCCTTATTCCGTGTGTTTGGTTAAGGGTCTGATTCAAACCAGGAAATGCACCGTGCAGAGCAGCAGCCTGAAGGAGGCACCTCTGAAGGACGGGGAGAAGGGTGGTAAAGAAAGAGAGGAACCTCTCTGCCTCCTCAGCAGGAAGGAACAGGAAGGGCAGCATTTCCCCTCCTCTGATTTCCTCCTGCCACGTCCAACACCTACAGAGATACACTGCAGTAAGTTTACAGGAGAATAGTTTACAGGTCAAAAGATGGACGAGCTCTTTTTGGGCGATCAGAAAGCAGGGGACAGTTTGCTATTCCAGAAAGGCGTCCTTAGCATTGTCTAGCCCACCACTTTTGTACAGAGTAGGTATGAGGGTCAGCTCTCGCCCTAAAATAATTTGTCCTTTGTCAAGCCACTTAACCTCTGGGGTCATTAGTTCCCTGGCATCTCTGAAAATGCACAACCTCCAGAGCCATTTCCTAAAGGTAAACGTCCTTGACTATAAAGGTAAATCCTACCCACCACGTTATGGACAAACTTGGGGGCTCAGGATGGGAGGCAGGCAACACTGCGGTCCCCTCCCTCTCAGTAATGGCCAGAGGCAGTGGGACCCAGGGCCTACCTCCCACCCTAACCCCCTGTTCTCTCTCCCCTTTCCCTGCACCCTCCACCTTGCCAATGCTTTCCCAAGCTGCACAGGGACAGGCAGCCAGGATGATCCCCTAGTCATGCTTGTGCAAAGGAATTCCGCGTTCCCTGCCACTCACTCGGATACAAGAATAAACCACCTCACCCTTCTTAAAGACTGTTCAGCTTTCCATTGTATTCGACCATCATAAAAATCCTGCACTTCAGAGAAAAGGCCACATATTCTAGGAATCGCTTAAATGATATATCTCTCAACCACGTACTTGGTGAGCACCATTGCATGAAAGCATAAACAGTACATGGTCCAGGCTCTGTTAAGCTGCTCACTTCACACAGATTTTATAGCTCTCTGTATGTTTACAGGGCTCTGCCTGTAATGATAATGAAATCGTCCAACCTTCTTAGCCCAGACAAGACAGGCAAAATTCTCTCAGGTGTGCTACCTGTCTTTGATCTGAACAGCAAACATTCTTTAAGTGTTTTCTTTTTTTTTTGTGAGGAAGATCAGTCCTGAGCTAACATCCGTGCTAATCTTCCTTTGTGCTGAGGAAGACCGGCTCTGAGCTAATGTCTATTGCCAA